GGAGAGTTGCCCATACCAGGTTCACACCCAGCTCTTGATCTTGTACTTGCTAGGGACTACTGCAGTTCAGTCTAACATGACTTGCACTCAATCCTGGCACTTGCCAGTGTAAGCTGTGGTAAAGTTTAACCGGTATAGAAGGACACTGTGACCCTAGTAGGTCAAGGAGCACAGGATACAATTGATTGGATATCATTTGTATGAGAACTGAGTGAACAACATGTGAATGAGAACACTTGGTGGGATATACAAAACAAAGGGTTCCAAACAATATTATAGAAGCAATTGATGGGTTCTGTTGATAAGTTCAATACTTCCTCCCTTATCCCATATGACCCTCAGTGTAAAGTCTGATGCCACTAATAAATTTCTGCTTTTGACCATCAGTCAGAGTCCACACCTGTTATTATTGGCTCCGTGCACCAAGTCCATCGCTGCAGGACAGCAACATGCCCACAGGACAGTGACAAGCTGGTCCACAATTATTCTGGCTCTTGCATGTGCCAGTGGATACTGTGGCCTAACAGGGGAGTTCCCCAAGTTCCACTATTAGACCTGCTTGCCGCCTTGGATCCCACATCTGACATGACCCACCCCAGTCTCATCACTCACCAGCAGGCACTGTGGCCTTGCCTGATAGGCCCACACCCATGCTGGCTTTTGCTGGTGGGTGCTACAGCCCAGCCCTGCCTGGCCACCCCCATCCCTGCTCTCATATGGACTGAAAGGTGCCACAGCCTAACCCAGCCTATCCTGCAACCACTCTGGAGCTTGCTAGTGTCAGCAGGTGCTGGGGCTAGCCTATCTGGCCTACTCCTGTCTCCTGATCCAGCCCACAGGCAGCCTTGTGCAACCAGGTCAGCCCCCAGCCCCAGCTTTTGTGGTCACCCGTGGGAGCTGCAGACTAGCAAGGAGTCCCCTTAGTTCTACCAATCCTGCTCCCCGTCCCTCCCAGCCTCTCTCTCTCTCTCTCTTTCTTTTTTTTTTTTTATTATGTGACACAGTTTTATAGGTATTGGGATTCCCACTACCCCTCCCATAACCCTCCCCCCATGGTGGATTCCTCTACTGTGTTGCGTGACCACAGTTCAAGTTCAGTTGAGATTCCTTCATTGCAAGCATATACCAAACATAGAGACCCTCATCTTATTGCCCAGATAAGTTCATTGGCTTTTTGGAGAGACCTTCTCTGGTCTGAAGGTAGAGCCAGCAGAGTAAAAACCCAATCAATCAAAAGCCCCAACACTGATATTTCCATAATTGAGGTACATAACCATTATAGGAGGGGCGTGCAGAGAAATCTTCAGTATCTTGGTGACGAGTACTTGCTCTGTGTCCTGCCTAGCAAAGTATGTGTGAGTCCATGCTGACCAAGCTTTCCTTGTTGTTCTTTATCTATTCTAATTTGTGTGTGTGTGTGTGTGTGTGTGTGTGTGTGTGTGTGTGTGTGTGTATGTGTGTGTGTGTGTGTTTGGAGGGGGGTTCTGGAGCAATCCTAATAGTCATTGCAGAGAGGGTGGAGACCCAACGTTGGAACTAAGTAAGGACAAGAGAGAGCTTCTCTCCTTAGTCCTGAAGGGAGTTTACTGTTGTTTTGATTCCGAGGACCGCTCTGGGTTCCTGGCTGTTGTTCTGACATCCTTGGATCCCACGAGGAAGATTTCGGGCTCCTTTCATCCTGCGTAGTAGATCCAGGTCGGGAGGGATGCCCTCTGAGTTCGCAGGATCCGAGGGCATTCCAGTTCCCCATGGTCTCTTTGGCACTTGGGATGCAGTCCTTGGTGCCTGTGCTGATAGTCCTTGGTGGGGATCCTGGAGTCTCCAGGTGTGGGATGCAGGCCTCTTCCTGTCCTCCTGCTCCACTCTGGGGTCCATCCCTGCTCTGTGCATATGTCCTCCTGTTAGTAGGTTGTCAGGATCGCTCTTGCTTCCCCCTGTATGTCTTTGTAGTTTAACTGTTGCCTAATGTTGTTTTGAATCTGTTACCAATAAGTTACCTTTTGTTTTCCTGATAGGTTACACTATATGTCTTCCTCACACATTCTAAGGCTATGGAAGATTTCTTTGCTTTCCGCCCCATTCCTGATTAGCACAAGGTTTTGAAAGTGTAAAAGGTTTTAAAATTGTTCAAAACACATGGGTTGGGACAGTATTAGTCACAGGTTTATCTGAGGAAGATTTACTGTCCTTGTGAATCTTTAGGATTACTTCACATCCCCGAGACACTGTAGATTCAGCTAGAAGCTATCTAACCATCATATCTAACAACGAAAATCCCAGAGTTCCCTGGCTGGGTGGCCAGCAGGCAAAGCCTAGTGCCTAATGGCCGCATGGATGCAGCTGCGGCTCGTATGTAGTGGGCATGAGGCAGCCGTGCTGTCCAGCGGCCTCCGCAGCTAGGCCGTGGAGGTTCAGTTCGCTGGACTCCCAGTCCGCTCCCCACCCGAACTCCACCTCAGCTCAACCCCCAGGGAGCAGTACGCGGAGTCAGACGTGCCTAACAAAGCTAGCAAGCACCCACCTGAGAGGTCGCCAGCCTCTCTTGCATCTACAAATATGAGATGCCAGTGCTGCCCAGGGAAAGGTAAACAAGAATCTTCTAAGGGACCCTGGGCCAGCTCCTGCTTTGAACGCAAAACGATGGCGGGAGCAGAGGTAGCCATACTGCAACCCTTAGGGAAAGGCCAAAGGAACTGCAGAGGTGTCAGCCCTAGGACCACTGAGCTTTGATGTCAGTGCATCTTGTTACAGGGTGCGAGCAAGATCACACCAGACATGTCTAAAGTTTATTAAGAAGTCTTAATTAACCAAACTTGGTGATAATAGAGCACACTAGAAATAGTAAATCACAAGTCCACATGGCAATCCAACCAATCATAATCCAACCAAAGATAACCCCAGGGGGAACAAATGGTCATTACCCTGAAGTTCATCCATTAAGCTGAAGACCTGTGTCCCAGCTTCCCCAACAATATAAGTTATCCTAGGAGACATGCAACGAATAACCTGGACACACTTACAAAGCTGCAGACATTCACCTTTCCCTGGCTTCTCTGCCCACATTCCATCAGTGCTAGGCCTCACCTCTCCTGGAACTCCTGATAGCATGCAAACCAGAAACAACATTACTATATCCATTGTCCAATCAAAGTAATACACAGGGACCATGCTCAGGGGATTACCTGTCCTGGGTCAGCCAAGAGTCGAGGTGCCAGAGTAACAGAAGCATCTGACCAGAAAGAGAGTGAGCCCCTGCTTCACGTTCCTTTTTAAAGGAGTTTGTGAGGGAAGTGGTTTCACAACAATGCAACACCGTCCCCTCTCAGATGATAGGCCAGTCACACGTGGGCAGGAGCGAATACCTAAGTGGTGGGGGGAGTGGTTGAGGATGGAATTCTATTGCTGTTAGGCCCCACCTTCAGGACAGAGGGTAGGGCACACAGTCACATCTCGTTTGCCCGCTGTCAGTGGGTGCTGGTTATCACTGGCTGCACCCCATAACACATCTATCCCTCCAGACTGCCCAGTCTGTTGGAAAGTAATCCATTACCTGCTGAAGCCACTGACAGACTGTTATTTGTGGGTGACAAGACCACGGTCCTCTGGGCAGCACAGTGGTTCAACTGGATAATCCTTAACCTGCAAGTGCTGGCATCACATACAGCGCCAGTTCGTGTTCCAGCTGCTCCACTTCGCATCCAGCTTCCTGCTTGTGATCTGGGAAAGCAATGGAGGCTGGTCCAAAGTCTTGGCACCCTACCCCTATGTGGGAGACCTGGAAGAAGCTCCTAGTTCCTGGTTTTTGTTCAGGCCATTGAAGCTCCAGCCATTGTGGCCACTTGGGGAGTGAACCAGAGGATAGAAGATTTTTCTGTCCTTGTGTCTCCTCTCTGTGAATCTGCCTTTCTAAGCAAACAAAAAACACTTTCCTTGGTCTTCTGCTTGTCTTCTGTCTTTATAAAAATTTTCAGCTGATCATTCTTTTTCCTGCTACAAACCTCACCCCCATACTCACAGCCATAGCCATTTTCTCTCTTCCCTCCAGCTATAACACAAGAAGGATCCCCTCCCCATGACAGCGGGAGTGCTCATCTGCACCATATTTGTCTTTTGGTTTAGATTTTGTTACTCAAGCTCCTGGCCTTCATCCGTCCAGTCAGGCAGCCAAGGTTTATTGAGCCAGCTGCAAAGCTATGCCTAACAAAGGGGCTGCCCCAAATGCAAGGGGACTCTGGGGTTAGAAAACAGTACAGGCAGAGAGAAGGGCAAGGCAGGGGTATGGACCCTCAGCCTCAGACGAGCTGTGAGTGAGTGCGGTGGGGGCGGCCAACAGCTAGGGTGAGCTGGACATGGGTTGGGCTAACAGTTTGGATTTTAACCCTAAATCACCAAAAATAAATTTATCTCTCTGAGCTTTCATTTCTACCTTGAACAATACGCTTGAGAGTGTCTGCTTAAGTTATCAGCGTCCTGCAGTGCGTTGAAGGGCTAAGGGCTAAGGGCGAGCATGCCAGGTGCTTCATGAATGTTTAATCAGTATATGCCAGGAACCCTCGGTCCTTCCCACCCTGATCAGCTATGTAAACGTCATCCAAAAGAAAATTAAATAATCCTTAAAAAAAACCCCAAAACTATAAATGCCGGGTGAGTCCTTGAGAACGTGGAGGCCTCCGCTGACGGCACCCGTAGCGTCAAGCACTGACTAGAACCTTCTCCCGGGCCCACCGCATCGCGAAGGCCTAGCGAGCGAGGCGGGCTTTACGGCAGCGCGTTGCGGCGGGGCGGGGCTCCGGGCGGCGGGCGCGCTTGGCGGCAGCCGTGGGAGGCAGGCCGGCAGGCAGACGGACTCGCAGGCGGGTGGTGGCGGCCGTGCTCGCGAGTGAGGGCGGGGAGCGAGTGAGTCAGTGAGCGTGTGTGAGGGAGAGGAGCCGCGAGCGAGCGGGCGCGCAGTCCCGCGCCGTCCCCCCGCAGCGCCCGCCAGGCCCCCGCCGCCGCCCCCGCCGCCGCCGCGCCCAGGCCGGGCCGAGCCGAGCTGGGTCGGGCCCGGGCCATGCTGCTCACCGTGTACTGTGTGCGGAGGGACCTCTCCGAGGTGACCTTTTCCCTCCAGGTCGACGCCGACTTTGAGCTGCACAACTTCCGCGCGCTGTGCGAGCTCGAGTCCGGCATCCCCGCCGCCGAGAGCCAGGTAACGCCTTTGGGGGGTGCCGCACGCCTCCCTCTTGGCTGCTGGTGGGAGGAGGCGGCGAGGGCAGCCGGGCTGGCCGTGTCCATCTCGCCCCCGCCATCCGGGAAGGAGCGTCCCTCGGCTCCCCACCTCCCATCCCCCCGCCAGCCCGGGCTTGCTGCTTGGGGTGGGCACCCGGGGATGGAGCGGGGAGCCCGACCACAGACGCCCTCCCCCCGCTGCAGCGTGAGGGGCGCGTGGACTGCTGGACAGCCCTCCCCAGCTTCTGGTTCTTTTTATCTCTGGCCGATCCCGAGTTTGGGGGTTGTGGGGCGTGGGGGAGGCTGGGGGAGGGTATCATGGACCTGAGAAGCCGCCCTGGGTTTGCAAGGCTTGGTTCATCCTGCTTCCCCAACCAGAAATACCAGTTTGGGTCCTTGTGGTATCGAGACCTTTTGGGGTGAGGGTTCCTGCTCAGAGAGATGCAGTTTATCTGTAAACGCACACGTTTGCCTGCTCAGGAAAGGGGGAAGTTTGAGACATAGCACCGCCTCGTTTTGAGGGTCGTTCGCAGTTCCCTCTTTCCCTACACCCTACGTTTCTGGTCCAGCTTGCCTTTTTTTTTTTAAATGAGGGAGTTGGTTCATTTCGTGTCGTTGGTTATTCTGACCTGGTAGGAAAACCCCAAGCCCCTTCTTGGGGGCCGCAGTGGGGAGCTGGGGTCAGGTTAAAGCTGAGCGCTTTGTAAGGATGCCGCCTGCAAATGGTCCCTTGGTGTGAGTGGGTGGTTTCATTTTCAACCCGGCTGGGAAGTTCAGCCCCGCTGGCGTTTTAAGTAAGCAAAAACAGTTTGACTGTGAAAAGGCTTCGGAATTGCTACCATCTAATCTTTTATTAAACACAGAATTGTTGCTGGTAACTTTGTAGCTTTACCCGGAAACACTTAGCTCCTCACTTGGTCGAATGGACTGGGAGGACACAAACTAACCCTTAAAAAAAATGATACAAGGTTTCCAGCGCCCCAGAATGCAAACCCTGATTTGTTATTGCAGTTATGAAATAGTTCCAAAGGCGATTGCCCAACTGCAGCTTTTTCTGCCCTGCCTTATGCCAAACAAATGTGTCAATATTTTGTTAGGAAGAAGGGCTCCTTTACACAACCTGAACTTTAGAACCTTGGCATAAAGCTGTCCAGAAAGAATTGATTTGAAGGCACAAAGTGCCATGCAAACGCATGCTCTGGCAAAAGCTACAAAGAAGTTAGGAAAAGGTTTTTTGTTTGTTTGTTTGTTTCCTTCCTTATTTTTCTTCCAGGAAAAGCTAAGCCACCATACCTTGAGAAGCAGTTCCCATCAGTAAATCCCTCATGTGGAGAAGGAGGGAAGGAGAGTTGAAAGAGGGAAGCTTCTTGGATGTGGTGGTGATGGTAGTTCTTTCACTGTGATACATTACCCTGGTTCTAATCACTAGCTGACCGGAGACATTTTTTAAAAAAAGAAAAATGTGAAGTGACTCATAGGTTTAGAAAAGACAGCTAAGACTCTTTTTCCTTATTCCTGCACATTTTGAGATGGCTGTAAACAAAAAATTTAAGTCAGTAGAATGTCAGGTCCAGAGACACTAAATCGTGTGGTCAAGACAGGCCACCCAGTGCCAGCTCAGAAAATTAAGATTTTCTAGTTGAGCACTGTTAGGTTAACTCCAAATTCATTGTCGTTTATTATGTCAGCATTTTGGCATTTGCTTCCTTCCCGAGCCGCATTAGCATATGGAAGCCTGGGTTCTAAGGGCAGCTCAGTAGACGGTTGTAAACAGCTCCTGCTGTGCCAGTTTGTTCTCTGGGCTCCTTTGTAACCTGAGGCTCCTGGGTCTATTTTGAGAGGTCTGGTGGTCGGTTGCCTTTCACTTGCCTGACCATCACGCAGGAACTGGATCCACCCTAGACATTTGAGTCATTTCCTTTCATCACATCAGGAAAGTAAACATTGCTACAGTTGTACCCACAGATAGGTCATCTTCACGTATTTGTGTGCCTCCCATTTGTGTTCTCCCATGTTACTCATTTTCCCTTCCTCTCAAAGTTCTCCCAATCTGTATATCCTCAAATGTCCTTATCCGTTCTTGTTTTTTCACCTCCCATTCCGGACTCCATTTCTTTATAGGGGTGTGTGTGTGTGTGTGTATTCTGTTTCTGGCTATGCCTTGCCACTGTATGTCTACATCATCTGTCTCTAAACTTCCCATCCTGTATCCGATTAGGAAGATGTTTTAGAGCTTGCTGCAATGCCTATCCCACACTGTATTTAGGACCAAAGTTTCACATGCATGTGTATGTGCACTGTATATGTGTAACATGCATTATGTGTGTACATAGTGGATCGTATATATGGGTTTATCGCCTTTGCAAACAAAGTATAAGGAGGGATGAACTAAAATGGGAATGAAGATGTCATTTTCTTTGCTCTTCCTTCATTCTTAGCAGCTTTGCTTATATCGCCAGTTGAGAATTCAGCCTTTGACCCCTGCATCAGTTATGCAGAAGTGTACTCCTGGGAAAGGTGTTAATTTTTAACAGCTCTCGTCTCCTTCAACTTAGAACGCAGTGATGGCAAATATAGAATAAAGCCCATCTCAGCTTGCCTGTGTGGCTGAAGCTGGGCATGTTCCATCACGGTGCAAGTGTGGGCTTGGGGGCCAGTCCTGGGCGCTGTTGGAAGCCTTGATGCAGACTTGCCTGCTGAACTTCAAACAATGAGCAGAACTTAACTGCACCATAAATTAATGTCTTGGTATTTCTGCAACATTATTATAATTTGCCTCTGTAGGTGGCATGTGCTAAAAACCTGTGCAGACTGTGGAGGGACCCAACATGAAAGGCACATTTAAATGCCAAATAATAGCGCTTCTGGAAATGCAGTTCTGTCTACAGCAAGATAAGTAAAGCACGATTTTAAACCAGTAGAAATTGAAGTTTTCTATTGTAACTAGTTTCAGCATGTTTGTTTTTGCAGCTAATTTTTTGTTTCTATAAAATACTATGTATGAGTCATTACAGAACCCTGTAATGCATAAAACAGAGTAAAGAATTCAGTCACTTATTACCTCATAACCCATAACTGCAGTTTACTTTTTTTTTTTTTAAAGATTTATTTTATTTTTATTGGAAAGGCGGATAGACAGAGGGGAAGATCTTCCGTCCGATGAGTCACTCCCCAGGTGGCCGCAACGGCCGATGCCATGCCTATCCAAAGCCAGGAGCCTCTTCTGGGTCTCCCATGCGGGTGCAGGGTCCCAAGGCTTTGGGCCGTCCTCGACTGCTTTCCCGGGCCACAGGCAGGGAGCTGGATGGGAAGCGGGGCTGCCGGGATTAGAACCGGCGCCCACATGGGAGCCCGGGCGTGTAAGGTGAGCACCTTGACCACTGCGCCATCGTGCTGGGCCCTGCAGTTTACTTTTTAATGTACTTTGAGCCTTTCTCTTTTATGTAGTCAGTGTACCTTAAAAGTACGATGGAGCCTGAACTATAATTATATAAACAGTTTCATGTTTTTTCTTTTGTCAAGATTTTTTTTCTGTTTTTATTTTTAATTTTATGATGTGGTTTCATAGGTTCTGGAATTTCCCTTATCCCCTCTCCACAAATTCCCTCTTCTCAACTGATTTCCCCCCATATAATTACAATAGTCTAGTTCCTCATGAGCAGTCAGAAGTCCATCATTCTGCTAATTAAGTGTATCTTGATAATGCGGGTACAGTCAATCCAGCATCCTATGGTTTAGATTACATTAAACATTTTTTTTTAAGATTTATTTTTATTATTATTATTTTTTATTGGAAAGGCAGATATACAGAGAGGAGAGACAGAGAGGAAGATCTTCCGTCTGATGAGTCACTCCCCAAGTGAGCGCAACGGGCCGATACTATGCCGATCCGAAGCCAGGAGATTCTTCCAGGTCTCCCACGCGGGTGCAGGGTCCCAAAGCTTTGGGCCGTCCTCGACTGCTTTCCCGGGCCGCAGGCAGGGAGCTGGAAGGGAAGCAGGGCTGCCGGGATTAGAACCGGCGCCCATATGGGATCCCAGGCGTGCTAGGCAAGGACCTTAACCACTGCGCCACCGCGCCGGGCCCTACATTAAACATTTTTAAAGAAAAATTTCCTACTCATATATTGTGCTTTTGATTATCAGCAAATGTTCTTATAAAATTCAGTTTACAAGTTACTCTACAAAATGGAGAAACCGAAACACAAAAATATGTTGTTAATAGAAACTGAAAATGAAAATTACTTGAGATCTGAGATTTTATTTCAGTTCAAATTTAGAGAAATCTATAATTGAAAATAGTAAGGATTGTGCAGGTATGCATTTTCATGTATAAAATATAAAATGTATGAACTTAAAATTTAAAACAAAGTAGGTAACTTTTTTGAAATTCACTTTTTGAAAAAAGCTACCAAAACTCATATCTTTCACAGTAAGTTTCGTCTTTCTTTTCTTAATTGTTTTTGATACAATTTAGTTGGCAATGGGCTCTCCCCTCCCCTCTGTTCTCCTCTAGAATCATAATGTGTGTCCATCGGGAATTTCCCAAGTCCATCATGCTTCCACTGGAGTATCTCCCAGCTGTGTAGGACAATAACTTTTCCTTGTAGGTTAATTCTTGTATCCTGGGGCCCTAATGTAGGTAGAGTGAGGATTAGGCCTTCGTTGCTTATGGGCGGTACCAATAACAGTTATATGTGGACACTGAAAGTCACAAGTGGTTATGAACAGTGCACCTCTTGTGGATGGTTAATGATTTACATCACAGGTTCTTGTTACATTAGGTACAAGTAAGTATGAAGTAACATTAACACAGTAAGATTCACATATGTCTCTAGATTTGACAAGATATATTAGAGCAAACATGATATCTAACCTTTTGGAATTGGCTTTAGTCAAGATTTCGTTGTCAGTATTTTCCCACAGCATTTCAAGTTCTTCAGATTCATAGTTGTTACGTAGAAGTATGTATATACCATCA